CGTAAAAACAAAAACAATTTAATGATGTCAGAGTCAAGAATTGATTTGATAACGAAAGAATAAAAAGGAAAAAATATCAAAGACAAAACAACCAATGCATTGGTCAACACTAAATGTAACTAAGCTATTCTTCCCTCTTTACTCTAGAAATGAACAGTTAGAAAGATGGAAGCATTTATCGCCCCTTTTTTGTATGCACTGAATTTTAGAGTAATCAAATAGCATAATGATGTTGGGAAAAGGAAAATTTCAAACGCATTGAAAAGTAGAGAGACTGTTGTCTTAGCTTCAATATTTATTAATATATGACCCGTCATGTTTCATCCTACCCTTACTGCCTGCCCTGACCCCAGCCTTGGATTTTTTGAATAAATCCCTGGCAATATATTATTTTATTCATAAATACTCCAATATGTATCTCTAAAAGATAAGGACCTTTTCTTTTTATTTTGTATTTTTCCCACCCCTCTACCCACTCTTCTTAACATAATCACATTGCCACTATCACACCAAAAAGTTAACGATAATTTCTAGGTATATTCCAATACACAGTCAATCTTCAAATTCCCTAATTGTCTCATAAATGTGTATTAACAGTAACTTGTGGGGTTCTATATGTTGAAAATGTTTTGCAAAATTGCATTCAGTATTCCTCTTTTTATGATCAAGTTGTTCCATCTTTGGCAGTGGAGACACAGGAACATGTGCCCTTTTGACACGTCCAAATTTTTTTTTTTTTTTTAAGATTCAAACACTTGACATCAATCATAACACACTCTTAATATTTACCTCTTGGAACGTCCATCTCCTCCTCATGGCGAGGCCTTTATTCTCCTGGTCCCTTTGCTTCAAAGGTTCTCCCTGTCAATCCCTGTAGAGGTTTCTTCCCAGTCTTCAAGCCTCAGCTTAAATAACCCTCCTCGAAGGGGCCTTCCCTGACAGTGAAGTTCCTACCATGCTCTATGGCTTCAGCTAGTTCCTTTCTTTCTGGCATTTGTCACTACTTGACATTAACGCACGTGTCCTTTATCTGTTTGTTAGTCTCCCTCCCGGAACTCGGTGAGGGCAAGGATCTTGTCTGGCATTTTCGTCGCTTATTCCTCAACATTTCGCAAAGGACCTGGAACACAGGCATTCGTTTCTCATTTGAAAAATGAATGAGTGAACACAGCAAAGCCCCTACTGTTACCGTTTCCCAGAGCTCTGGCCCCTCACCTCATCCCCAGAGCCGTGCCCCTCCTCACACCGCCCGCCTCAGTTTCCCCCTGCTCCCCGTGAACAGGACCTCGGCTTCCTTCCTGGCCGCTCTCCGACAGCTGTGGCCGTTCCACGCCTGGCTCTCCCCTGGCAGCACCGTCAGCCACTACTTCGGAACCCGGAAAGTGCTACAACGCGGGCGGGGGTGCCAGGTTCCGCCCCGGTCTAGGGCACAGCCAGGACGCCCCCTGCAGGACACACAGTCTGGCCATAGTCAGGACCGGATGTGGCCGCGCGGAGCTGGAGAGGCCCTGGCCCTCCCTCCGCGTCCTCTCTAGGACGGCAGGAGGCTCGGCATCTCGGTGGTAGCCGGGGAAGCCCATGGCGCCTGGTGCCGCCTGTGAGGGCTAAGAGGTGGCGGCCCAGCCAGGAGTCCGCCCTCCTGGTCTTTGGTTCCCTAAGCCAAGGACGCCCCGCCAAGGGAAAAGGGAAAGTTCCAAAGCCTGGAGCCCGCACCATGCGGCCTTCAACTTCTTCTTTAAACAAATTAACTTTATAGTTAAAAACCTGCGAAGAGTGTGAATGAGCACAGATGTGTTAGGTTAGTAAGTGTGAAATGTCCGATTTCCTTGAGTACTAACTCTGATGGCTATTTCTGACATTTCACTTTGACACTTCGTGGTTTATTTTTATTGTGCAGGTACATCCTCAGTCTTTCAAACGCATGATCTGGCTTGTGATTATCTTTCAAATGATTTTTTTAGAGCAATTTTAGCGAAACCATGCATAAGTAAAAAATTCATGTTATTTTCGAATATGACTTCTGTCGGGGAACCAATGCAGCGCAGACAGCTCAAAATATCAACGAAGTGTTAGGGAAGGACGTGGCTAATGAACACACAGTACATGGATAGTTTGAGAACTTCCATTCTGGTGATTTTAATCTTAAAATTGCGCCACGAGGGTGACCTGAGACCAAGGTGGATAATGATGAGCTGAGGGCTGTAGTGGAAGCAAATCCATCTCAAGCTACACGTGAATGAGCAGCAAGGTGTGATGTTACTATGCCAGCAATATTGGACCAACTGAAACAAATCGGCCAGGGAAAGAAGCTGGACAGCTGGGTACCCTATGAGTTAAACACGCATCAAGAGAAATTGTCTTGAAGCTTGCCTTTCTTTGCTGTCACAACATAAAGGCTAACTGTTTCTACATCGTATTGTTACGTGTGATGAAAAATGGATTCTTTTTGACAATCACAGGCTTTCCCCATAATGGCTGGATACAAAGGAAGTTGTGAAACACAGTCCAACACCCATTTTTCATGAAAATCAGCTAATGCTGTCTGTTTGGTGGCCCAGCTCTCACTACTTATGTCTGTGCCCCATCTTAGTGCCATTTTGTCTTGGCTGTCTCTGTCAACCTCAGCAGTATTGACATTTGGGCTGGATATTCTTGGTGGGGACTGTCCTGTGCACTGTAGGATGGTTAGCGTCATTCATGGACTCTTCCCACTAGATGACCCTCACACCTCTCCACCCCCAGTTGTCTCATAATTTAAAACTCATAGGCCGGGCACAGTGGCTCTCATTTGTAATCCCAGGACTTTGGGAGACTGAGGGGGGAGGATGGCTTGAGGCCAGGTGTTCAAGGCTAGCCTGGGTGACATAGGGATACCCAGTCTCTACAAAAATATTTAAAAAGTAGCCAGGTGTGGTGGCATACAACTGTAGTCCAAGCCACTAGGGGGGCTGAGGTGGGAGAATCACTTGAGCACAGGAGTTTGAGGTGACAGTCAGCTAAGATCATGCCATGCACACCACCCTGAGCAACAGAAATGAGATCCTGTCTCTTAAAAAAATACACAAATTAAAACTTACTGATAAACAAAGTATCTGATACATTCCTAACTGCCTTTCTTGACTTATCTTTCAGAAGCGAGGGGATGGGGGTGGGGAAGCAAGCTACTCTCTTAGACTTCATTTTGACTTTGCCAATGAAGTCAAACTCATTGGAACTTGGAAGATTTTGAGAATTTTGTAATAGCAGAAGGTAAGGATTAATCATACACCCTATACTTTAGGGAAATAAATTTCAAAAATAATCAAGGCTGTCAGATACTAGGCTATAAGGACAATGGACACCTTCCAGCTCCTATTTACTGCTTGCTTGCTAACCGCAAGGCATTATGAGTACATTATGGGATGCAGAGGAAAAAGACAAACAACGCGGAAACCCGAGTCTCTCAGCTAGGACCCGGAACAGGTTAGAGCCTATCAGGGCAGGATGAAGTAAAAATCACTATGGGGACGGATACATGACCAGTGTGTAAACAACTGAGTTATAAAAAGGGGACAACACACAAAGGAGGGTCCCTGCCCAGAAAAGAGGCCACTGCGTTGGCACTCTGGGGACTCAGACCCTAGCTCGAGCTAGACAATAAAACTCCTTTTGATAATTACAGCCTTGGTGACTCTGTCTCTCTGTCCTGGGGCCTCGTGAATCTTGAATATAACAAGGCAAGAAAGGGGTGTCTCTGTGGCCCAAGACACTACAGGGGTCTTTGTGAGGAATGTGACAAAACACTATCAAAATGGAACCGCACCACTCTCATCAATGACAGCAGCGGGATGGAACACGGAAGAAACCAGAGGAACCCAAGGTGATGTTACTGGGGCACTCAGGTGGGAGCAGGAAATATATGCAAAAAGATGGAAGGGACCCAAAGGCAAGGAACAATCTGAAAGCTTGGCCAGGCCTATGGCGACAGAGCTGGGTGGCTCTGATCTGATCCTTGCAAAACCTAAAAGGACAACTCAAGATGGCATTTTTAGTCGATTAGGAGCAAAAGACACAAGATTGCAATGAGTCCATTACTTGATTCTTTAAGCATTATATTAAGAGATGACAGACAGAAAGCTTTTGTCTCTATGAAGGAGAGGTGACATCACAGGAAATAAGTAAAACAAACATGCTTGAGAGAGAATGAGCTGGGTCAATGGCAGCTGCACATGAGAATCACCTAGGGAGCTTTAAAAAGTACTGCTCCAGAGGCCCTAGGCCTGACTAATTAGACCCAAATCTCTAGAGTGACACGTGGTGTGGGGGTTGGCTTAGAAGCCCCAGGTGATTAGAATGTGCAGCCAATATCCAGGGGCCTGAACCAGCTAAAGGGATGGTAACAAAACACCCCATTGTTTTTGCTTCTGTTTTTTGTTTGTTTTCTCTTAGAAACTCTTCTTCATTTTCAAATGAGTAGAATGAAAAGGTGCAATAATAGAGAAATGTATGACTTGGAGGCTTTTTGTCTTCTAAAATTTATTTTCATAGATATTTAATAGTCCACTTAATAGCTGTACATATTGATGGGGTATATGTGGTATTTGGATACCTGCATACAACGTGCAAAGATGAAATCAAGTTAACTGGGACATCCATCATGGCAAACATTGATCATTTCTTGTGTTGGGAGCATTCCAGATCTTCTTTTCTAGCTATTTTGAAAGAGACACTACATTGGTGTTAACTATAGTCACCCTACTCTGCCATGAGACATCAAAACTTATTCCTTCTCTCTAACTGTGTGTTTGTATCCATTAACCAACCTGTCTTCATCTGCCCTCCTCCCCAAACCCTGGTGTCGTCATTCTTGTCTCCACCTCCATGCAATAAACGGGGATAGCTCCCACACCTGAGTGAGAACCTGTGATATTTACTTTTCAGTGCCTGGCTTATTTCACTTACTATAAATTCCTCTAGGCTCGTTCATTTTGCTACAAATGACAGGATTTCTTTGTTTTTATGGCCAAATAGTATTCCATTTTGGTTTTTTTTTTGTGTTTTTCTTTACTCTTCATTTTCCTTCTTTTCGCTGTTTTTTTTTTTTTTTTAAATTTTTCTGCCTGGGGAGCAAAGGGCCACCCAGACCCAACACCTGCACGTGCAGTAGACCGGTCCCCCGGCCACAAGTCAACAACCACAGGGGGCGAGCGAGGGCTGCCCGCTGCGGCAAGACGACCCGAGCCCGCCATGGCGCGAGGCGGAGGGCGGGAGCGAGGGCGGTTGGGGTCCGCCCGCGTGCAGAGCCAGAGGAGCGTCCCCTTCCCAGTAACCGCCTGACCCTCGCCTGGCGCGAGGCTTAGGGCCCGGGAGAGCCTGACGTCACCACATGGGTCTACACGTTATCTTCATTCATTCTTTGTTGATGGACACTTAGGTTGATCTACATCTTGGCTATTATCAATAGTGCTGCAATAAACATGGGAGTAAATATAGCTCTTTGACATACTGATGGCCTTTCTTTTGGCTGCATACCCAGCGGTGGGATTGCTGGATCATATGGTAGTGCTATTGTTAGTTTTTTCAGGAACCTCCATACTGTTCTCCATAGTGGTTGCACTAATTTACATTCCTACCGACAGAGTATGAGGGTTCCCTTTCTCCATATCCTTGCCAGCATTTGTTATTGCCTTTTGATAAATGCCATTTTAACTGGGGTGAGATGATATCTCATTGTAGTTTTGATTTGCATTTTCTTGATGATTAGTGATGGTTCAGCATTTTTTCATATTCCTGTTGGCCATTTGTATGTCTTTTGAGAAATGTCTATGCAGATCTGTTGTCCATTTTTAAATTTGATTATTTGATTCTTTCCTATAGATTTGTTAGAGTTGCTTATATATTGTCAAAATGAGTTGGCTGTATGTAATGTGTGGATTTATTTCTGGATTCCCTACTCTTTTCCATTAGTCTGTGTGTCTGATTCTATGCCAATGCCAGGGTCTTTTGGTTACTATACTTTTGCAGTATATTTTGAACTCAGGTAGTATTATGCCTCCAGCTTTGTTCATTCGGCACAGGATTGCTTTGTATGCTCATGGTCTTTTGTGGTTCCATATAAATTTGAGGATTTTTTTTCTATGTCACTGAAGATTGTCAATTGTCATTTGATAGGAATTTCATTGAGGCTGTAGATGACTTTGGAGAATATGGTCATTTTCACAATGTTATTTCTTCAAATTCATAAACATGGGATGTCTTTCCATTTTTTTCTGTCCCCTTAAATTTCAATTTCTTTCATCCCTGTTTTGTGGTTTGCTTTGTAGAGATCTTTTAACTTCTTTGTTAAATATATTGTTAGGTGAGTTTTGTGTAGCTATTGTACATGGGATTGCTTCTTTGAAATCTGTTTCTGCTAGTTCACTGTTGGTGTACACAAACGCTACTGGTTTTTGTATGTTGATTTTGTAATTAGTTCTAAGAGGTTTTTTGGTGGAGCATTTAAGGTTTTCTAT